GTTTCTGGTTCCCAAAACCCAAAGAGTTTCGCTTTCAGCAGTGAGCCTGGTGCCTCAGCGAGAGCTGCGGTGAGCCAGCGTTAGGTTGCAGAGCGAGCCCAGCAGCCCCATGGGGTGGATGCTGCGAGATCCCTGTGCCCAACCCACAGCTGCAAGCCCCGCTATTTCTGGCTGTGGAAAGGAAACCCAGCAGCCACCAGTGCGTGTCCTGGGCCTGTGTCAGAGCTATGCCTGCTCCAGCATCCTGGGGGGGCTTCCATTAAGTCTGGGCAGGAGCACTGGCAGCTTTCCCAGCACTTTTCCCCAGGAGCCCCTGACGTCTCCATATCTCTCGCTGCTTATGTTTCATTTCCTGCTGCCTTCTCCCTCCAGGCCCCCTCTAAGTCCTGCAGCTGGGCAGGCCAATGTTACACAAGCTAAACCAAGGCGTGCCTGATTTCAACCAGAAACACCGCCGGCATTCTCCTCATCCTCTATGGCTATCCATCCTCAGGATCTCCTTTAATTTGTTCTGATTAATGAGCAGCAGAGAGCTGAACAGGACACCCCTGCCCCTCTCCCAGCAGGCAGAGATCCTGCCTGGGAGCACAGTTGCTTCCAGCCTGACACCGCCTGTTATCTCCTTGGGCTTCAGGTTATTTCCTCCCATAGCACTAAACTGTCAGTGACTCAGGACCTGAGAGCATCTGTAAGAGTGCTGTGGTCAGTGCTTCCCTCCAGCCAGCCCTATCTCTGTGTGATAATTTGGCTCAATAAACCCAGAACAAGGTGCAGGTCACTGGGGGATAAATACCCAGATCATGACTGGTCCCTTGTGTGGTACTGCTGCTGGTAAGGGCTTGTGGGGTCACTGAGATGTGAGGGTACTGAATGTAGCTATTGGGCTGAGCCAGGCCTGCTTTGCAGTGTTTAATGCATACCTGAGCTCAGCACTCTGCTGAAAGGCAGTGCCGAGCTCTCAGGCATCCATTTGTGGCTGTGACTAGCTGCTGTCGGGAAGCTGTGACGATGCAGAGCAGGGACACGCATGCCTGTTGTCTGATGCTGGTGTGAGAGCTCTATGGAGCCTGTTTGCGCCTCCCCAGGGCTGCTGTGGATCACCAGTGGGGTGGGGGAGGCTTAGTGTGTCCCGGGTGATGTGCACACCGTGGTTATTCACCTGCTGTAATGCTGGGGCTGCAGGCAGTGTCTGATGCCGTGGGCTGGCCAAGTCCATCACCCCAGCTGCTGGCACCAATGCAGCACTCGCATTTGGATGCTTCTCTTCGCCTCAGCTTGGCCTAGAAACAATATCTCAGAGAAAAATCAAAGCTTGCTGGTTTTTCTCTGGGACTGGAGCAGCTGCGATGGGAGTGGGAGCCCTGTGCACGCCGCAGGCTGTGTGTATGCACTGCGGCGCACACTGTGCCTGCAGCAGCTCACGGAGCTTCTGTCTGTCATGGGGGGATAATATATGGGTTAGCATCCTTCTCCTGCGGCCATAAATGATGGGGAAGGAGAGCAGCTGCACGCTTTAGCTCTTCTCTCTCCCCATGCAGCACAAGGAGGGGAAGCAGTGTGCCATGGGGCATCTTGCATGGAGAGAGGGAATGGCTCAGCATGCTCTTGCAAGCACCCCAGGGACACGTAGAGTACCTCTGTGCCGGACAATTGTGTTGGCTGGAGCGCAGGGTAAGGGGTCGGGAGTGTGCCCTGTTCATCCATGTGCAGCAAGGGATGCCTTCCTCCGAAATCTCCCCCCTTTGCTGCTGCTGCCACCAGTGAAACCTGTACCGAGGAGCTGAAGCTGTAGCAGTGTGTGGATCCGCTTAGGGGAGAGGTCTGCTGGGGAGCCGCTGATGTGCCAGGCCTTCGCTCTGGTGCCACTCCGAAATGCCCTGCCAGTGACCGGGTAGCCCCTGCCGGCGCTGCCTGCTCTGTGTGCCCCGGCCGTGGCAGGTTCGGCGCTGCTGAGGCGGCGGCAGGGTCCTGCGGTGCGCGGAGGGGGCGGCTCTCCTCTGCAGGCTCTATAAAAAGAGCGGCGGCAGCACAGCCCTATCTATAGCAAAGCAAGGGAGCTGCCTGGAGAGGCAGCGCAGGGATTAGACCCAAATCTGACGGTTTTCTCCTGCCCCGTTTGGGAATGCCGGCTGAGGGATTCCCACTACGCCCCGGGCTGAGATCCTCCCTGCCAGCAGGCAATGTCCTGGCTCTGCAGGGTTTTCCTGACTGTCTGCACCCTCCCCGAGGGGGCTTATTGTCACACTTGCCACCCAAAGGCTAGGGACTCCCCAGATCCCCGTTCTTTCCTGCTGTTTGGGGATGGGATTTCACAACAGCACAAGGTGGCTCATGAGGATAGCCCTGCTGGGACCCCAGGACATGTGGGTTTAGGGTGGATGCTCAGCATCCTCCTGTAACTGGTCCTGTTGTGGCAGTCTCAGGGCAGCTGAGACCTTCCCTAGGGAAGCTGGTTGTGAAATTTGTGGTCCATGGTATTTGTACTGGAGAGCTCAGCTGACTGATGGAGTTTTGCCCTGTTTTGTTTGGGGGGAGGACACAGGGAACGGCTACATGTCCTGAGCAGCTGAACCCTGGGTTTGTGGGTGCACAGCATCACCCTGGGGTCTCACCAGCACCCCAGTTTGGCTGGACATTGCCGTGCTGTGGATGCAGAGCAGCACGCAGGGTTGGGCTCTGCTTTTGGCCGGTGCCTGTCACCCTCTGGGCGTGCTGGCCATCCCCTGAGACTGCCAGCGCCACCCGTGAGAGCATCTCCCGGCCCTCCCCGGGGTGGAGGTACCAAGGAGTGTGTCTCTTTAATGAGGCTGGGCTTGGAGCAGCTCTGCTGCTGGCACAGGGAGCGAGGGATGGAGCGAGGGCGGTGAAGGAGCCAGTGCCAGAGAGGGAGCCTGCAGCAGAGAGAGGCGGGGAAGGACCGCTCATCCCCCCTGGGTATCGCAGACCCCAGGCCGAGGGGCAGAGAAACCCCACGGCAGAGCAGAGAGCTTTGCAGAGGGCAGGATCCGGTGGGTGCTGAGCCGAGCCTGGAGCCCCTGTGTCATCCTCCTCCTCCTCCAGGTAAGGGCCGGGGCGGGAGGGAGTCAGGGGCCGCGCTGAGCCGGGACCCTTCGGGTATCCTGCGTGCCCCAAGGTCGCACCCCCGCTGTCCGGGCAGCCGCGGATCACAGGAGGGTGAGAGGGGGGGGATGAGGCAGCAGAGCCACGAAAGTGCTGAAATCACCACCCGGCGCGGACCCAGCTGGGCTGGCTCTAATAACTGCTGGGAACGTGCCCCAGGGTATCAGGAGCCGGTCCCTGGCCCACGCCACAAACATCCCATGGCCGGAGGACCAGCGGGACCCCTCTTTTTGACTGTCCTGCCGGGATGAGCCTCTATCGGGGGAAACCCGTGGGGCTGGGACATTTGTTTTGGGGGTGCCTGTGTTAGGGTGCATCGGGGGGAGTAACTCCTGCTCCCTGGCACGAGGCTGGGCTTTTCCGGGGGTTTTAGCGGCTCGGGGTGGGGGGGAAGCAGCAGCACAGGTCCCGGACATGGTGGTCCTGCATGCAGTGTGTGTGCCAGGGCATGTGTGCATGCATGCACGTGTGCGTGTGGAGCAGACTCTACTCTGTTTCAACTTCCCAGCAGAAGAAGCACCAGTGCCAGACAGGGGACAGCACCCCCTTCACCCTGTCCCCTTCGTCTGCAGCTGCCGGGGAAATCCTTTTCCCCTCCACTCCTCTTATTTGGGCTCTCTGCAAAGCCCGGCCCACGGGAACTGGGCAGCAGCACTGGGCCTCCTCCCTGCTCCAGGAGTTGGGATGGATCCTGCTCTCTCCTTGTGCCCCATCCCAGCAGAGTGATACGAGGATGTCCCACAGGGGAGCGAGGGAAACAGGGGTAACTCAGAGCAGCAGGAGGGGCAGCGATGTCTCCTTGCTCCAGGAGCTACTGCAGAGGTTTGGGTTCCTTTCCTTCTATCCTTCTTTTGTACCAGCCTGTGCATCTGTCACCAGTGGAAATTTCCATTGGGTTTGCGTGTGCAAGGGCTGGCCTCATCCTTCCCCAGGGTGAGGAGGGACAAGGCACCCACAGGCACGGGGTTCTGCGGGCGGCTGTTGCTGCAGCAGGTGGAACTCTGACAACTCCTCGGGCAGCTCAGGAGGGTCGGCTGGGCTGAGGCACCTGGCTTGCTGCAGCAGCCTCACCGCAGACCCCAGCCTGTCCGCGGGTCAGAGGAGACATGTGAAGTTATTCTGACCTACTGAACAGTTAGCTCCTCCTGGCCTTCACTGAGGGCCTTTTGCATGCTGCTGGCATGGCGAGCTGCCCCCAGCCCTCTCCTACTGCATCCCGCTCTGTATCGGGGATGCTGCTGGTTAAACCAGCTCCTGTAGGCAGCAGGTGGGAAGGGAGGAAGAGGAGGGAGCTGTGAAAGCACTGGCAACCATGCTGGGGACGGGGAGGGGGTTGGGGACATGTTGGTGATGCCATGCTGGCAGCTGGGGACAGGTTGATGCCCTGGAGGAAGAGGACGAAGAGGCCAGGATGAGGACCATCAGGTCTGGTTTTATTCATTACGGCAGGGCTTAGAGCAGGCAGCACAAAGCATAGCAGGGACAGATGGGGCCTGTTTACTCTGTGAGTATAAATGTAAAGCAAAGTGATAAAAAGCAGCCGGGAAGGCTTCTCCAGTAAGTCCCTGGTAAACAAGCTGGCAGTGCCCTGGCCAACGGGCAGCATGGCAAATAGTAGGCATGTTGCTGAGCATTAAGCCGGTGCCTTGGGAACAAATGGAAGGACTTTGGGGTGAAATCCATCTTTAATGGCTCAATGTGGCTGGGATGGGGGAGTCATGGAACCCAGGGCCTAGCTGGGTGCTGTGGTCAGACCAGAACCCGACTGATGATGTTCCAAGCAGTGGCACGGCTGGTGTGGAGGAAAAAACAGTCTGTGCAGGGACCCTGTGCTGCTTTGTGTGGTGGGAGAGCAGTTTGGGGGGCTCAGCATCCTGCACACAGAGTGGAGGATTGATGATAGTAGGGAGTGGTTGGGTGGGCAGGACCTGCAAGCATAACTCTGCGATGCCAACTGAGCATGTAAACAGCTCCCCTCCAGCATAATGGGCTTACTTTCCTGGGATGCAGCCATGTTGCTAATGTACTTCCATGCTTCTCAGGGTCTCTCTGCCTCATACCAGCCAAGGGCTTCATCCTGATGCTGCCTCCAGGGATGCAGCCCTGCTCCGCTTTCAAGGATGCTCTGGGAGGTGCATCCTGTGCCCGTGGGCAGAGAGTGCCCTGAGCCTCCTGTTCCCAATGCTCATACAAGCTGTTCCCAGGATGAAGGCCACCAGAGCGGGGGTACCGGATGGTTCACTTGTACCTGGCCTTGTCCCTGCCCCAGCCACGCTCCACACTGGAGCACCAGCACACGGTGTGATGCTGGGACCTCGCTGCTGTTGGGTTGCAGGCACTTGGGGTGGGCAGGGGATGCAGCATGGAAGTGCAGATCCATGCCTAGAGAGGGACACACACACACGGTCCATGGATAGGCAGGGCTCAGGCTGACCCAAATACTGAATGTGAATATTTGATGGCACAGGCTGGGGGAATGTTGGAGATGCCTTGGCTCTAGGCAGTCATTTGGGATGCTGCTTCCAGGTGGTTTTCCCAAAGGGAAGAGAGGTGCGGAGTGGCTTGGTGCCCTTGCTGGAAGGCATCCCCCGCCACCTTTCTTCTGACAGCCAGTGCCGAAGGGTGGGATGCTGGATGCATCCATCTCTGGGCAAAGCATTACTCGCACGGATGCATCGTCCCCTGAGCCAAGCTCCCCCCTGCAGTGCTTTCCCCTCTGTGCCGCTCTTCTGTGCAGCGCTGACCTTGTTGTTAATTATTAAACCCCAGCAAACACTGCTCACGGCTTTGTCCCAGATACACCGTGGGCTCCTCGCCCTTTCTTTTCTGTTGGTTTCTTTTAACCAATTACCCTGGTAACCTCTGTGGGTGGATGGAGATGGGAGCAGCAGATGCTCCTCTCCCAGCCAGTGCAGGAGATGGCCTGGGGAGGCTCTGGAGCCACTGAGCTGCTGCGGAGTGTCTGAGAGATGGGATGCATGTGGCTGTCCATTATCTATCCTGTCTAGGAGTCCCTGCTTGTCGGCTTGGGGCTTGGGGCTTGCATGTGACTGCTACTACCCATGGGAGAGGACATTTCACTGCCCAGGTTTATTTACCTGTTGGGTGCAAGAGCTTTCTGTGGGCTCCTGTGGCTCCAGACCTGGTCTGTAGGTGAGCTGGGGTCCAAGCAAAGACCTAGGTCCAGGCCCATACATTTCGTGGATGCTGCAGAGCAATGCCTCTGGAATCAGGAGGGCTGGGGACCTGCTCCCCTCCTTGCGGGCTGGGCACATGGAAGCAGCTTGCATGCAGAAGCCTTCTTATGGCAGACCCTGTTCCTGAGCACCCAGTGCCTGCCTCCCCTCTGCCTGCAGCTGCCCACTGAGGGACAATGCCAGGCCTGTACGTCCTGTCCTCCTGGGAGCCTCTGCCCCTGAAGAGCTCCAAGGTGAAGGCTTGTGCCAACGGGTACTCCCTGAGCATCACTGCTCACCTCACGTACACCAACCCCCATGAGGAGCCCGTGCAAGGTAAGGGGGAGCTATGGGGGCTGGCAGGGACCTGGGCTGCCTGCACAGCCCCCTAAAATCACCCTTGCTGGAGAGCATCCCAGCCCCACGCCTTGCTCAGTTTGGAGAGTAAAGGTGGTGTGGTGGCGGCACCAACACACAGCATCGCCCTGGGGGCAGGAGAAGAGTGAGGCTGAGCAAACCCACTCCTGTTGCTGAGGAAGAGGGGGATTTCATCCTCCCTGCCCTCCCAGATAGTGAGGCTCTAGGTCCTCCCTGTGTGCTGCCCATGCACCTCAATACCCTGCCAGTCAGAGCGGTGCTGCCATGGGCTCTACTGTGCCACAGTGGGCTCCATACCTGGACCTGCCTCGGGCTCTCTCCTACCCACAGGCGTCTTCATCTACCCCCTGGAGCAGTCAGAGGTGGTGGCCAGCTTTGAAGCGGCAGCGGGCAGCCGGCGGGTGACGTTCCAGGTCCAGAACCGGGACCGGGTGCAGGACTGCTGCCTCCAGTGCACCCCAAACCCCAGCCAGCCACGGCACTGTGCCAGCGGTGAGTGCTGCTGCACAGGTGGTCCTGCGGGGCCCCCCTGGCTGGGAGGCTCAAAGGAGCAGGGATGAAGTGTGGGGGAATATGAGGGGCTGACAGCCCCTGCCAGGCCACCCTGCTGCCTTGGAGGGGGTCTTTGGGGTGGAGGTTTCAGCCTGTCCTTTCCCCTCTGTCCACCTCTCCTGGGGTTTTACCTGACCCTTCGCGTGTGGCCCTTCTTACGCCTGCACTCTTGTCCCCTTTGAGAGTAGCTACTGCAATTAATGTCCCCCCGTTTCACACACCACTGACCCCAAACCATCCCTCCTCTGCCTAGGCCACCTCGTCCTGGACGAAGACGTGGAGCGCTCCACCTTCATCATCGTCACCGGCACGCTGTGCGCGTCGGAGAGCCTGTCCATCACCCTGAGCACAGCGCAGGAGCTGGCCACGCTGCCGGATGGGGCCCTGCGCCTCCTCCTGCCGCCCGTCCTCACACCCCGCGTCCCCCCCGACCCCGAGAGTGAGCCGGCAAGCTTGTGTGACGACAGGTTGGCCCTATGGTGATTTTCACGGCTTCCTCAGTCTCTGCCACCCCAAGGGGGGGATGCCGATGCTGAGCGAGCAGGGAGGGGAGCGGGAGCCATCACCACCTCTCCCCTCACAGTCCCACCAGCTGTTTTGGGGGACCGGGTGCCAGGAGCCAGCCCCCCGCCACGGTGCCTGTGGAGAGTGTGGACGTCTTTCGAGGCCGGACCTGCAACCCTTTTCCTTATGAGTTTGCCTTCGAGCTGCTGGTGAAGGGCCCCTGTTTGCTGGCAGGTATGGGGGCAGCTCAGGTGGTCGCAGTTGGTTGGGCAAAGCCTCCCCAAAACGTGGACACTGTCCTGCTAGTCCCGCCATGCTTCTAAGAGGCTGTGAGCCCCCTTCCCCCAGCATCATCTTATATTCCCCACATGCAAAGAAGCCCTTTTCCCATCCCACCCCTGGGGCTGGGACCCTTCAGAGTCACCACACAGATGGCTTTGGGCAGCTCTGGGTCAGCAGCCTCCTTCCCTGGGAGATTTGATGGATGGGGGAGAGGATGAGCAAGGAGGGGATGCGGGTCAGTGGGGACGCAATCCTGGCTGCTGGCCCAGTTAATCCCATTAGAGCTGGCAGTGAGCAGCCACCGCCGCAGTGCCAGGCCCAGCACAGGCGCAGACCCCAGGGGGTGAGGGGCTCCCCTGCTGCCACCTGCTCCCTGCAGGGCTGGAGAGCCCGTCCCATGCCCTGCGAGCCGACGCCGACCCCTGGGCCAGCTCTGCCACCACCACCTGCGTCACCCTGGCTGAGCCCCACCGCTACGACAGGGACATGGAGATCATCCTCTACCCCTGCGGTGAGGGGGGACGGTGCCCTCGGCGGGTCTGGGGGAGATGGGGCACTGCCCTGACAGCATCTGGGGCATCCCCCAGCCCCCTGCAGCACAGGGTGGCGCTGAACCCGCCTGTGCCCAACAGAGCCCCATCACCCCCACCTGGTGATGGAGGACGGCACCATGACATACCCCGAGTACGAGGCCCTCATCCGGAGCCGCCGGGATTACATGCGGATTGCCAGGAAGGACAGCAGCGGCGAGAGACAGGTGACATGGCATGGTGGAGAGGAGGAGGAGAGCGGGAAAAGGTGGGGTGTGCATGGGGAAGACCTTGGTATGGGCCAGGGGTATGAGAAAGCCTCTGGGCTGCCTGGCTTGCAGGTGGCTTTCGTGCAGAAGCGTTTCCACAAAGACATCTTCCCCAACCCTGTGCTGATGCTGAACTTCTGCCCGGTGGCGGAGGGTGTCCCCGGGAACCTGCAGAGCATCACCCGCGAGGTCCTCTTCCTCGTCGACTGCAGCAGCACCATGAGCAGCCCTGATCTTGACAAAGTCAAGGTAAGGCACAGCCATGGGGTCAGGGATGCTCCCTGGGTGCCCAGATCTCAGCAGCCCCCCTGGTCCTCACTGTCTCCTCAGGAGGCTTTGCTGGTGGCCCTGAAGAGCCTCCCGTCGGGGACACTGCTCAACGTAGCCAGCTTTGGTGCCGATGTGAACCCACTCTTCCCGTCCAGCCGCCTCTGCAGCAACGTGAGTGCCACCAGGCAAACCCACACCAGCCCGGCTCTGGCTCCCTGCTCCCTGGTGTGGGTCACGGGTGGTGAGCCAGGGACCGCTGCGAGCCCGGCTCTCCCTACGGGCAGGAGACACTGCAGCGCGCCTGCGAGCACCTTGGTCGGCTGCAGGCAGACGCAGGCAGCACCAACCTGCTGGCAGCCCTGCGCTGGGCGCTGGCGCAGCCCCTCCACCATGGCTACCCCCGCCAGCTCTTCCTCTTCACCGACACGGCTGCAGGCAACACAGGCAGGATCCTCCGGCTGGTGCGCAGGCAGGCCAGCACCGTCAGGTATGGCACTGGCACCATGACTGAGTCCTCTCCGTGTCCCCTGGGCTGTTCCCAATGATTTCTCATCCTGCAGCCCCAAATCTCACCTCCACCAGCCCTTCACCCATCACATCTCCCAACCGCACAGGCTCAGCTTCCCCCAGGACTGCACTAACCTGGCACGCAGCTGGGGTGGCATCTCTGGCTATCGAACACCCCTACCCATCCCTGCTGCGGGGCTCGCCACTGGGCTGCCCAGCCCCAGCACCAGCCCAGCCATGGCTTCCCATCGCCTGGCTCTCTCCCACAGATGCTTCAGCTTTGGCATGGGCCCAAGGGTGTGCCGGAGGCTGCTGAAGGGCATGGCCAAGGTGAGCCGGGGCCGTGCTGAGTTTCTGAGCCCAGCGGAGAGGTTGCAGCCCAAGGTAATGCTCAGGCAGGGATGGAGGTTGTGGGGGACATGGGGGACGCTGTGGTGCCTGACACTGGCTCCTCTCCCTGCCCCAGCTGATCAAGTCCCTGAAGAAGGCAATTGAGCCGGCTGTCAGCGACATCACCATAGACTGGTACGTCCCTGACAGCATGGAGGCTCTGCTCTCGCCCACGGAGTTCCCAGCCCTCTACCCTGGTGACCGCCTCATCAGCTACTGTGTCCTCTACAGCATCGCCCGCTTCCGCAGCAGGCGCCCACAGGTACGACCGGCACTGCCCTGGCACGGGGAGGATGGCATGTTCCCGGTGCTGCTGGCTTCTCTATGTGCCAGGGAGGGGGTGACAGCGGTGCCCTCTCTCTGCCAGGGCCGGGAAGGGCCTTGCCGGGGCTCAGCCTTTCCCTCCCAGGAGGATGTGCCCAGCGCCGGGGAGAGCTGCCAGCTGTCCCGGCACACTCCGGGATCTGGGGACATCTCCCTGGAGCTCCTCGCCGGCAGTACGGAGGCATCGGAGCGGAGTGAGTGGGGCTGGGGCTGGGGCAGGGGTGAGGCACGGGGGCTGTGTGCTGATGGGGTGTGTGTTTGCCGGGCAGGTGTGGATCCTGCGTCAGGGGGAGATATCTGGCAGCGGATTTACCAGCCGTCCTACATCCAGGAGCAGTACGTCCTGACGCACTGCTCCGTCAGCACCGACCGCAGCCGGGGGCTCCTCTCTCACAGCTCCACCAGCAGCGAGTCCACCGGCTCCCGGGATGTGGCCTCCGAGGTCCCGGGCACTGACGCCACCTCCCAGCAGGGCCAGAAGAGCCTGTCCCTCTGCGAGTCCTCCACCAAATCTGCCCCACTGCCCTCTGCCCCGGCTGGCACCAAGGTAAGAATGACAATGGGGTTCAACAGCTCATGCATGGGGGGTTGCTGGCAGCTTACCCAGGGCCTCACTGCCCTGCCATGGCTGGACACGTGGCTGCCAGGCTGGAAACTGGAGTGCTGCAGCCTGGGTTTTAAGCAAGGGTCAGCCGTGAGAGCCATAAAAAGGCTCCTTAGGTGGTTTTGCCCTACTGGAAAGGGACAGCTGGGGACCAAAGAGGTGGTCCCGCAGCTTCCCCAGCTAGTAGTCAGCTGGGTGACTATCAGACGCCCTGGACAGCTCAGTTCCTCAGTGATGCTGCAGAAATCAAGTGAAAATAGCTGGGCCAGCACCAGGTAACAAGCCTGCCAAGCTGGAGAGGAGGGGTGGGCTGGCTAAGCTCCTGTCTGGCTCCTTCAGCCCTCTGCCAACACCACCTGATGCTTCGGTAGTGATTGGTCGCATCCCTGCTGCTTCATACTTGGGTTTAAAACCCAGCCAGGTGGCTGCGGTGGGGAGACACAGCTCCCCAGGTGATGCTGGCCCCGAGGCCAGGTGAGGCCAGCTGTCACCCAGCTCCGGGACACGCTCCTTCCTGGTGACATGGGGCTCCTGCTCACAACAGCACAGCTGGTCACCTTTGCTGCTGAAATGTCAAGCGTAAGTGATTTCCTTGCAGCATAAATGATCCTCTCCCAGCTCCCTCGCTGATGGGGTGAGGGGTGGCATGGGTGCCGCTGCCCTGCCACAGCTTTTAGGTGAAGCACCTCACGCTGCACTGGGTACCGCATCCCACTGTAGCGTCATCCAGCATGAGCAACAGTGCCAAGACGCCCCACACACAGACACAGAAAAATCCCTGCCAACTCCTCCTGCCTGGGCGTCAGCTTGAGTCAGCCCCAGGGATGTTTGCAAACTGCTGTCTGGGTGCCATCGGGCCTTCCCACGTGTATGAGGAGCTTGGCGAGCATCACCCCCTGCCCTGGGAGGCCGCCGGGTGCCATCCTGCGGAGCAGTGGGGCTGGGTGACAGCCAGCAGCTCCGGCCAGCAGCCGGCTGGGGCTGCAGGTGCCCTATCACGGCTTGGCGCAGTGTGGGCTCTGTGCCGGTGCCTGTGCCGGGCTGGCCGTCAGCCTTGCCCCCACCGCAGGTGATGATGGCCCTGAGCACGGAGGAGCTGGCACGGCGGAAGAAGGCGCTGGCACGTGCTGCCCTGGCCAGCCGCAGCTTCTCCTCACCGCACGGGGAGCTGGACGCGCGCCGGCTCTACCGGGCCCTGGAGAAGGTGTCACAGAAGAGGAACCAGTCCCTGGAGGGGCAGCTGGATGAGCTGGGACCCCAGGGACGGCAGCTGCAGCCCGGTGCAGTGGAGTCAAGTGTGTGCTGGCTCTGGGGGAGAGTGGAGGGTAGGGGGCCTGGTGGCCCTGCCTTGCTGAGCCCATGTCTTGCTGTTCACAGATAACCTCCTCTCACCCACCCACCTGGACTGGGACATGCTGGTGGAGCCCTCCTACCTCTTCAGTGCCTCACCGGTGCCCGAGCCGGGGGAGCCCAGCCTGGGCGATGCCAGCCTGCCCCTGCGCTGCCAGGTGGTGATCCATGCGCTGCGAGCCGGCAAGCCGGTGTCCTGGGAAGTGACGGCCTCGCTGGAGTCAGTGATGCAGCCCCGGCCCGAGGGGCCAGGCAGGGAGGACCGCCCGCAGCGGGGGGGCAAGGCCTGGGACAAGCCAGTGCACCGCTTGGCGGCACGCTCCGTCATTCGGGACAACGAGAACGCGGCGCAGCGGGAAGCAGAGCTGCAGCAGGGTGGGTGCCGGTGCGTGTGCCCCTGCTCCGGCACAGCCTGGCACCCCCCCACCTCTATCTGCTTTGTTCCGGGCAGGTTTTGCCCGCCGGTTCCGCCTGAAAGCTGTGCAAACCAGCAAAGCCTGCAATGTGCCTTCTCTCTACACCCGCCTGGTGCCCGTGGATGGTGCCACACACGCAGCCCTGCCCGCAGCCCCCGAGGTGTGGGGCACAGGTACAGCCAGGGGGCCTAGCACGCTGGGGAGGGGACGGTGATGGAGCAGAGGGCTGAGGTGGCACCGTCCCTTGCAGCCGGTTCTACCAGGCACTCACGAGCCACTGCAGCAGGGAGCTGGCACCACAGGAGCTCTTCAGCGGGTCTGGGCCAGCGGCGGGATGTGGAAGAGCTGGATGAGGCTCCTGTCACTGCAGGTACTTGCATCAGCTTATGCTCCCCAGGGAGCTGCCTGAGCACTGCAGCCCCTGTGGACCTTTGGCTCATGGCTGAGTGGGGCATTGTCCTCGCTGGAACACTGTGGATGCCCGGGAAGAGGGATCTGCCCCATGCTGGGGAGATATAGGGGGGAGCAGCTGTGGGCTGTGAAGGTCTTGGGAGCCTGGGGACCATCAGGGCTTCACTCTTCTGCAGGGCGAGGAGAGACCCCTGCGTCTCCAGCCAGCATCTCCTCCCCTACCTATGGCGGGGAAAAGCAGAACTCCTTGAACGGTGAGTCCAGGGTGGAGGGGGCCAAGGGCTGGATGGTGGGGAACAGGGGTGCACCCTGGGTTCCAGGGAGCAGGATGCACCTCTGGGTGCACCATGACCTCTCATGCTCAGTTCCCCCCCTTGCAGGGCCTCCATCCAGCCCCTCCACCACCTCCATGGGCTCCCAGAAATCCACAGAGAGCATCACTGGCTCTAGGTGAGGCTCTGGGTGGAAGGATGCAAGGGCCCAAACATTGCAGGGATTGGGGGATGGTGCTGCTTCTTGGGTGCTGCACATCTGATGGCCCCTGCCAGGTCCAGCAGAATAAGAGGGGTTAATGCTCCAGCCCCTTCCCTGCAGCAGGCTGGAATTGTGTGTCCTCTCTGTCAACTCACCTGTATCCCTGCAGGTTCAGCCTGAGCAGGCGCAGGGGGCCCAGCCTGGCGCTGCGCCTGCAGGGCCTCAGCCCTGAGACCGAGCGCTCCAGCAACCACGACTACCTCCCGCTGGTAAGGACCCTGTCCCCATCCCACCCTGCTGGGCTGCAGCTGCACCGCTCAGGCAACGCCTGGGAGCAGCAGCACACGGTACACTGGGCAGTGCCTGTGTCCCAAGGACACTCCCGCAGACCCACCAGTGGCTGCTGGGGGCTGCAGTGGGTCTGTGCCCCTGCCTGCTCCCCCCCAAGTCACCTGCCCTGCTATTGCAGATCCAGCTGCAGCAAGCCAAGGGCCCATTCCAGCTCACAGAAACCTTCTCCGACGTGGTGCAGATCCCGCTGGATCGCCTGCGCCGGGCCTCCCCCTATGCCTCCCACCGTGCCAGCCTCAGCCCTGTGTCCCCAGGGGCCAGGAGCAGCCTCCAGGCAGGGCCTGGCAGCGAAGAAGGCGAGGAGCCCGCCACAGCCCTGCAGCCCAGCTCACCCCCATCCCAGAGCACTTGCTCTGAGGTGCCCAGTGCAGCTGTGTGGGCACAGGCAGACAGCGGGCATGGCTCTGAGTCTGACACCGGCCCCCACTCAGCTGCCCCCTCTGAGGCTGGCATGAGCTGGCAGGACGTGGGGCCAGAGGACCTGGAGAGTGCCAGCTGGGCCACGGCAGTGGCCTTGGCATGGCTGGAGCATCGCTGCGCTGGCTTCTTCGAGGAGTGGGAGCTGGTGGCAGCCAAGGCGGATGCGTGGCTGCAGGCACAGCGGCTGCCCGAGGGGGTGGACGTGGCCTGTCTCAAAGGGGCAGCCAGACACTTGTTCCTGCTGCTGCGTCACTGGGATGAGAACATCAAGCTGAACATGCTGTGCTACAACCCCAACAACGTCTGACAGCTGCCAGAGGGGCCAATAAAGGTGACCGGCTTCACGCTGCATGCACAAGTGTCTCTGTTACGGGCAGGGAGGCGTCAGGTCACACTGGGGCTCACCACTGCCCTGGGGAAGAGGTCACCCCCTTCCCAGCCATCTCCTACGGAAGGAAGAATGCAGGAGACTAGGAAAAGCTGCACTGGAGGGATCAAGTACAGCTGTGGGCTGCATCAAGGTGATTCAAACCTTGAGGCAAAACAGTTCTGCAGATCCTCTCACAACCTTACCACAGAGGCTGCTCCCCTGCCCTGGGCAGCACTCTCCCAGGGTTGGGAAGGGATCTTCCACAGGCTCAGCAGCTGCTCTGCCTTCCGACTGGTGGGGCAGACCAAGGCATGGCCATCCAGACACCATCATGGCACAAAGATGCAGCAGCCAGAGAAGGGCACACAAAGCCCCCTTTATTGGGGAAGTCCTGCCTGTCAGGGGTCCCCACGCTGCCCCCTTTGCACAGTTCCAGGGCTCACAGTCCCTCCTGGCTTGGTTGGAGGCAGCCTGGGAGCCAGGTGGGGAAAGAGCAGGCAGAAGAGGCAGTCCCAGAGGCCATTTCCCATCCTCTGGCTGGCTCTGCTGTCACTGGGCTTTCTTGGAGACGGCTGCGGGCCTCCTGCTTGGCGCGGGGGTGTGTGTCACTGGCTGGGGGGCTGTGCCGTACCACAGCTGGAGCAGGACGAATCCGTGGCAGATGTGCAGGGACAGGGAGCTGCAGACTGTGGAGGGGTAGGTGTTCCAGCAGAGCTCGATGACACCCAGCAGCAGCACCCTGCAGGGGGGGAAACTGTGGGTCATCATCAGGGGGACACAGCATCCCGCTTGCTCCCAGACCCCACCAGCAGATGAGTGGTCCCCCTTCTGGGCAGCACGTACTTGGGCATGTGGGCAAGCTTGGCAGTCGGGGTGCACCACAGTAAGTAGGGCAGTGTGTGGAAATACCAGACGTAGAACTGGTAGTGCAGGGAGCGGCTGCAGCAGACACCCAGAAAGTTGGAGGAGAAGAGGACGAAGACGATCTGTGCACTGGCGTTAAGGGGACAAAGGCAGGGGGCTGGAGGTGCAACGCAGCAACAGCTCCCAGCTGTACAGCACAGCTCCTCCCCCCGGGACAGGACGGTCCTAACAGCACCAGGACCTGTTCACCCTGTCTTCTCCCCCCTCTCTTGCTGCCCACCCTGCCAAAGGATATTGTTGACAGTCAAGGGAGGGGACGTGTGTTTCCGTTCAGCGGGGTCCTTCAGGAGAGCCAGGATGCTCTCTTTGGACCTGAGGGGAAGCATAAACATTGATGTCAACAGCTGCTGAAATCCCTTACTTCCCCTGTAAGCCACGCCGCCTGAGCAGTGCACTCCCCAAAACACGACAGTAACTTGCCCCTACTCCTGCCTGCAACCCCAGAACTGCAGCAATGTGCGGGCAGGGAAGTCACAGACCCGTATCCTGCACCACGGGCGCTGACTGAAATGGGGTTCCATGGGGGAATACCGAGTCTCACCTGTGCCACCGGTGCAGTGCGAAGAGCCCCAGGCCAGCCAGGTGAACCAGGAGCAGCGTGGCATGGAAAGCCCGATTCTGGAAAACCTCTTCTGGGAGGAAGCGCCAGTTTACTGTCCATTTGAACTGGAACTGACGCCCCAGGTCAAAGGAGCGAGTCAGGTAACCCACAGGGTTCACCAGCAGGAAGGGCAGCCCCAGAACCACCTGACAGAGATACACCAGCAACTTCACAGCAGCTGCAAGCCAGGTCTCCCACCACCCTTTCCACCTCCCGAGAACCCCAGCAAGAGGGACAGCCAGCCAAAGATGGGAGCCCCATGATTTAAATTAGTTGTGAAGCTCCAGCTTGCTGCATGGGGCAGACTCAGATGCTGGTGCCACTGTGCATCCACCCAGAGGCCTCCAGCCCCCAGGACACCCAGATAGGATGTTACGATGCAGGGAGGAGAGCCCTCTACCCCTTGCTGATGGGGCTGCCAGCCTGCCCCTGCAGTGATGTCTCGAGCAGGGACCCACCTGGAGCAGGGCACAGATGCAGAGCTTGGGGATACAGCCCCAGAGACCAAACTGTTGGAGGAGGAGGAAGAGAAGTCCTGGTGCGAAAAGCAGGATGTTCATCTTCACGGACACAGCCAGGCTGAGTGGGAAGCTGCATTACTGCTGTGGCCCCCACCGTGGGTGCCCAGGCAGTCCCTGGACCAAGTGCAGCCTCCTCCCTGGTGCTAAGCTTGTTCACACACACAGCACGCCATGGAGGGCAGCCACCACCTGACCGCAGACCCTCACCTGAAGAAGAAGCATCCCCAGGACCAGCGCTCCTCCAGGAAGAGGTTGATGGCGAGGAAGAGGATGGCCATGGCCACGGGGTCGTTAAAGAGCCGCAGGACAAAGATGGAGTGGATGCGGTAGGAAGCACAGCACATGAAGAAGAAAACATACGGGGGGACCTTGCCGGGGACAGAGATACAAGGGCAATCAGCAGCCTGTCCTGGACCCCTGGCTGCTGCCAAGCCTCTCCGCACCTCCGAAGCCAGCCTTGACTTCCTGCCCTGTGTGAGGGCTCAGCAGAGCAGGACAGGCCCCCCCCGGCTCCAGGCTACCTTGTTCGTTCGGCAGTAGATACGGAAGACAAGGAGGAGATTGAGGAGGTAGAGGCCGGCAAAGAGGTACTGTGCCAGGCGGATGTCAGTGCCGCGGCCCGTGGCATAGTACAGCCCCAGAAAGATGTAGACGAAGCCGGCGGGGTAGCTGTGGAGAGATGGGAGTGAGGGTCCAGGCCCTGCTGCCCCCCTGCGACCCCGCTGTGGGGAGCTCGGCCACCCCCGTCACTTACACCAGCGGCCCGGTGTCGCCCTTCAGCCGGGTGTAGTCGAGGGTCCCGTTGGCAAACCCCTCCACCTCCTCCATGTAGGCCTTCCAGTCGATCTCGGTGTCTGTGGGCACGGCGGGGCTCAGGCGAGGCGAGGGGTGCTGGGGACACGGCGGGGAGTCTCCCCCCGCCAGACTCCCGGCCCTGCCCCGCTGCTCTCTCCCAGCCGAAGCTCCGTCTGCCCCCCCGTGTGTCCCCGGCCCCGTCCAGGCCCCGCCGCCGCCATTGCCGGGCGCTGCTGTCACCCTGACACCCCGCGGTGCCCAGGGCCCGCTCCGACACCGCCCCCCCCCCGCGGGGCCCGGCCTGGCTCCGGCACTCACAGGGGACCCTGCGGATGACCCATAGGTTCACGCCGCCCTCCGCCAAGCAGAGGCAGGCGGCCACCAGCGGAGTGTAGCTGGGCTCCAGCAGCGCTGTCCGCCGCTGCCGCCAGGCCCGCCGCAGCACCGCCGCCCCCCGCCCCGCCGCCATGGCCGATGCCGCTCCGTTCCGCTCCGTTCCGCGTTTCCGGCCGGAGCGCTTAGGGCGGTGCAATCGCCGAGGCCGGAAGGCGCACGTGGGGCGCTCCGCCGCCCGGCATGGAGCGGCGGCACACTCCCGCCGCCAACCGCCGGTACCGGCAGCGCCGCTTCTGGGACGAGCTGTACCGGCAGGAGGGCGCCGAGCCCCGCGAGTGGCTGGGGGCGCTGTCCCGCTTCCTCCCGCACCTGCAGCCTGAGCTGCGCCCCGCTGACCGCATCCTCATCCTCGGTACGTGCCCTGTGCCCGGTGCCCGGTGCCCGGTGCCGGCCGGGAGGGCAGCGCTCAGGGTTCTGCCGCCGGATGCGCTGGCGCCGGCCGCGAGGGGGCGGTGCGGCGCTGGGCCGGTACCGGCGAAGCGCCCGGCACGGCGGGGCCCGGTACAACCCGCCCGTAATCCCACCTGCGGGATGATCCAGCGCTGATCCGCTGCCCGCCCGGCAGGTTCAGCCGCTCCAGGCGGGCGGGATTAGGCGGTGTCATCACCGATCCTGTTAGCGGATCAGCCGCCGCCAGCTCCGATTAATGGCCCCCAAATCCCCCCCCCCCCAGGATCCCTCTCGGAGCCGCTGAGCCATGGCAGAGCGGCTACCCCGACGAGGGGAAGGGACGGCAGAGGGACTCTCCCCGTGCCTTTCACACTGGGGACCGGTGTCCTGCTAGGGCCGGGCTGGCACTAGCTGAGCTGGATGCTGGTCCCCTGGGACAGCCGTTCCTCTGTCCTTTTGTCTGTCCATCCCAGTTAAGTCCCCCCATATGTGGCACGCTGCCCTAATTTGCCCCTGATGCCAGCTCCATAGCAGGCTCGTGGGGGGCACAGTCACCTCCTGCCCCACGGCACCGAGGGAAACACTTGCGATCCCCTCCCACCGCCAGCAAACCCACGGCTGCCCGTGCATCCCATCTGGGTGAGGTGTGCAAGGGCTGCTCTCCCCCTGCAGCCCTGCAGAGCCAGGAGCCCAGTGCACCCACTTTGCAAGAAAAGGGTAATTAGGAACTAGCCAAGCACTCGCTAGTTAACGGCAAGGTGATCTCTAGCTGCCCTAGCCCACCCACACCCTTCTCTGGGTCTAAGGGCATGGGGTTGGGGTGCTGGCAGCCCCTCCATGGGCACCCTACACCCTGCCTGAGCAGTGCCCCACACAGGCTGCGGCAACAGTGCCCTGAGCCACGACCTGTACGAGCTGGGCTACACCGACGTCACCAGCATCGACTACTCTCCTGCCTGCATCGCGGCCATGCGCGCCCGCTACGCCTGCTGCCCTGGCCTGCACTGGGCTGTCATGGACATTCGTGCCCTTGCCTTCCCTGACGCCACCTTCGACGTGGTGCTGGAGAAGGGCACCCTCGACGTGCTTATGGTGGAGGAGACTGACCCATGGAATGTCTCGCCCCAGGCGACTGCCACAATGCACCGGGTCCTGGCAGAGGTACAAGGTGGAGGGAGCTGTGGGGGGGACAGAGGGTGGACCCATTCCCATTTTGGGTGGGTGAAGGTACAGAATATGTCAACACCCTGCTTCCCTGTGGATGCTCCAGCCAGTGCCTTGCGCCCCCCCCCCCCCCCCCCAAGCTGGTGCTGTCCCCTTTGCTGCCCTGTAAGGGGACACCTGGGGGGCTTCTAGCACCCTTTGGGGTGGTAGAACCCACACACACACACCTTCTCCCCTGGGAGATGGATAGAGCCAGGTGTGTCCCTGGGGACCCTGGGTCCTGCTGGGCTGGGGGGGACCTGCGTGACCCCTTTGTTTATTTGCACACTGAACATGAAGGGGTGGCAGACGAAACGGCCCCCATCCTGGCATGGGTGGGTATAGGGTGTCTGGAGGGGACCTGGGGGACACACTGACGTGGCTGTGCCCGCCCAGGGTGAGGTGAGGACTGCAGGGCTGTGACAGGCACTCAGCTTCCATCTCATTAGTGGGGTCCCCAGCACTCGTCTGGTCCGGGGTTGCCATGGCAACCCCCATCAGCATCGACATGGCCTTGGCGTTGCCACGGGGATGGGTGATGCCTCTGGGCCCTGATTAATTGGCGGCATGGGAGGCAGGGAGGGGATTGAACCTACCCTGGCGCAGGGTGTGGGTCATGGCAGCCTGCACTGCCCTGCGGGGATAACTGGCGCGGGGGAATGACCACTGTGCCCCATGGCACCCTGGCAGCAGCAATGGGTGCTGGGGTGCTTGGGGCTATTTGCCCCCCATCCTCTTGCTCCTCTGAGCCCAGGTGGGAGCAGAGCCCCAGTCCTGTGGGCAGTGGGGCTGTCCTCACCACCCATGCCTGGCCTGCCCACAGTGCTGCCTGTCCTTGTCACTTGGCCAAGCGGCAAGGATTTAGTTCTGTTTTTTTTTCCCGTTTCTCTTTTTAATCCCCTGTTCAATCCCTGTGTTCCCTCAGCATCGCTGGGCGCTGGGCACTGGCCTCCACCCGCAGCTGGTCCCTGCTGTCCCTGTTCCCAGAGGGATTCACTGGCTGTTCTCACCCGCTCACCGCTTTGCCAGGCCCCGTGCAGGGGTCCAGCAGTGGCCGGCACCCCCATTTTCACTCCTGTCCCTCTTCTCATGACAGGGGGTTCATAGCCTCTCTCTTGCTGTCCCTGGGAAGGGTGGGGAGGGGCAGGGACCCAAAATGCACAGGATACATGGGTGATAGGGATGTAAAAATCCCTCCCTGCCTGCCGGGATGCCTCAGGGACACCCCTGTCCTGGCCATCAGGGAGCTGTGGGGTGGATGTCAGAGGGGGAAGCAGCCCCCCTGCGCCGGCTGTCGGGTGGCAAGGTTTCCTGCACCCATCTCTAAGCAACGGCCATTAGTGCTCTATTAATGAGGATGGGATGCGAGATGCCTTGCTCGGCTCCATCTGGAGATCCCTGCCTGCCCCCAGCCCTAGGGACCCCCATGCATCCGGGGGGCTTTGCAGGAGGGATGCTGAGCTGGGTGCTGGGGAGAGAGTGCAGGGACATGCTTTCCTTTTCCTGACCAAAACCAGTAAGGTTTGGTTTGAAAGCCACTGCCGCAGCACGGGGGGGAGGGACACACACAGAGGCTGGCTGTCCCCTGTGTCCATTCCTGGCCCCAGCCAGCACTGAGCTGGGGAGCTTCCCAGCAGGATTAAACCAGAGCTCGGGAACCCCGCTTGGCCCCCAGCCCTCTCCCCTGTTGCAGTGGCTCTTTGCCCTTGCGGGGGGGAACCTGGGGGTGTCCATGCCGGGGGGTGGGGGGCGGACTGGGGGCTGGCCACCTGCCTGCCCCAAGCACTGCTTTTGCATGCCGAGCACGCGAGCGCTGGCCGTAAAAGCCTTTTGACATTGGATAAAGCCAAGCAAGAAAATTGATGTTCTTTTCCATCCTGTTAGCAGGGGCTTAATTCCAGCAGGGAGAAAATGGTGATTAAAAGGGTCGAGTCCTTTCCTGTCCAAACCTTCCCCCTCCCACCTTGGATGCAGGGTGTTGGTGCAGGGTGGCGCTGGGTACCCTGAGGAGGGGTGGATGGGATGGGGGTCCCGTGCTGCTCTGGGAGGGTCCTGTGCCTGGGAGGGTGAAGCTTTTCTCCACACCAGGGTTGGGTCTCTGCTGTCTGCTGTGCATAGGGGTGAAGAGCTTTGGGACGCAGTGAGAGATGGTGCATGGGGACCCCCATTCCTCATTGCCACTGGGCTGCAGGGGGTCTGGGGACATGCCAGAACCAGGGTGTGTGTCTCCGGGGTGGGGACAAAGGTTAGGAGATTTGGGGGTGTGATGGGAAAGGCTGGGGGGGATCTTTGGCAGATGGTGATGTGGGTCCCTGGGGACAGGGCTGTTTGTGCAAGGGGGGGTGAACCTCACTGTGTCCCCCACCCCATCCTGGGGATTCTGCCACTGCAGGTAAGCCGGGTGCTGCGCCCAGGGGGCTGCTTCATCTCCATCACCTTCGCACAGCCCCACTTCCGCAAGCCCCACTATGCCCAGGAGGCCTTCGGCTGGTCCCTGCGCCACGTCGCCTGCGGGGACGGGGATGCCGGCACCTTCCACTACTTCCTCTACGTCATGCGCAAGGGGCAGCCCCTGGCCCCCCCCGACCTGGCCCTGGGGCGCCATCTGCACCGGCCCCCCCCACCTCCCGACCCACCGCCGCCCCCTGCCCCCCCGGACGATGAGGACTACCTCCTTGCCATCCAGCTGTGACTCGGGGGCTTCCCCGGCCTCCCCCCACCCAATAAAGCCTTAAGCTGCTCCGCCTTCATGGGTGGGGGACAGGGGACCAGTGCTCCCTCCCCACCCCACAAGCTGCCCAGTGATGTGAGCAATGGGGGGGGGGGGATTAGCCTCCTCCTGGGAGCAGCAGGGTGCTGCAGGGAGGGGGTGATGCTGTGCCCCCTCCCAGCCCTTCCCTTGCCCAGCTGGAGAGCAGCCAGGGCTCTGGGCTTTGCGGACAGTAATGAAACCAAATCGGGTTTAATTCCACCCATCCATCTTGCAAAGAGCAGCTCCCCATGTCCCACCCACTCCACTGGGGGCAGCTGGGCTGGTGGGTGCCCACTGTCCTGCACCGGGACCCCTGGACCAGCCTCCCTGGCCATGGGGCTGTGCAAGGACACCATGTCCTTGTCACCCCCCAGCCAGGTGGCAGGGGGTCTGGGATGGGTTGTGCCATATATGCCTGTGTACCCCCTCAGTTCCCACTCCTGGATGCAGTGACAGCACTGGTGTGCCACACACCTGGTCTGTGTCTGCCCATGCATGGGGCTAGCAGCACAGTGACACACGTGTGCTGGGGCTGGTGACAGCCATGCCACCGCATGCTGGTGGGGCTGGCTGCATGCGGGTGCTGGCATGGCAAGTGGCATCATGGGTGTCCCTACTTGGGCACCAAACCCCCTCGAGGTTGGTGACACTGATGGTGGGGTGCAGAGGGGACCCGTCCTCGGGGGGACAGCGGTGACACCAAAGAGGCAAAGCTGCCGGGCTGCTATTCCTGGCAAAAGGCATAAGTGGGTCAAGCGGTGGCTCCCCCCACACCGGGAGCTGGGGAAGAACTCCGGGCTCAGCCCCCCGCCCCGCCATGCCACCCCATCCCACCGGCACCCCGGAAACCTGCCGGCACACGGCAGGGACGGAAGGAGCAGGCGCTGCTGGCCTTGCCTCAGTACATGAATGTATTTTATTCATCGCATTTTGTTCACCAGTACAGTGAAAAATGGCATTTAAATTTACAATGGATCATTCGTAGAACATCATGACACGAGTATCTTTTTTTTTTTTTTCTTTTTTTTTCTTTTTTTCACGTTTTTTTTTTTGTTTTTTTCTCGGTTTTGGTTTTTGGTTGGGATTTTTTCGCCGTGTTGTGGGGTTGGTTTTCTTTTTTTGCGTTGTAGCCTCCATAAATGCCACTCGCAGGTTAGTGAAAAAGATGGCGAGTTCCTCATGCACATCAGACCCCCGAGAAGCCTCTTAAAAAATAAAATTAAATTAAAGTACAAAATTAAAAACAACGACTCGGGCCGGTCCCTGCCCCCCCGCTCCCCCCGCACTCGACGAGGGGCCGGTGCCCGCCGCTGCCCCGGTGGGCTCTGCCCGGTGCTCCAGGAGGGCACTGCGGCGGCCGGTGGTGCTGTCCCGCTGCCGGGGCTCGGACCGGGGGTCCCCGCGCTCCTCCCTCCCCACCCCTTTGGCTTTCCTCATGCTCCCTCCATCGCTCTCGCCCCCTTCATTTCCCCCCCTCCCCTCGGTATTTTCTTCTTTTTTTGTCTTTTTTTTTCTTACGGAAAAAAATATGAACCTTTTTTTTTTTTTTGGTTTTTGTTGTTTTTTTTTTTTCTCGTTTGCGTGTTTGTTTTCTCGGTGCGGTTGCTTCGAACATCTCAACGTCAGCAGATCGTTTTTAACAAATATTCGGATATAAAAATACAAATATGAGGAGTTTCTGTTTAAAAAGAAGCGTGCCGGAGTGGTGGGGCTGACCCTCGGCCCCTGCACCGGGCGCCCGGGCCACCAAGCTCATGCAAAAAACGATGGAGCAAAAAATGTCTCTGGACAGCAGCGCTCCCCCCTCCGCTCGTGGGGCCAGGGCCGCCCCGGGGTGGGGGGGGCCGCGCCGCGGAGCGGGAGGCTGGAACCCCCGCAGCCCCGGGGAGAGGGGGGATGTCTCTGCCCAGGGCGGGGGGCTCGGCGGGTCGTCCCTCTCCCGGGGGAGGGGTAAAGTGCATGGCTGGGGGGGGGTTGGTGTTGGCCGCAGAGCCCCCCTCCCGGGCCGGGGGAGGGGGGGCACTGGCTCGGCCTCCCCCTCCTCGTCGGCGGTGCAGCCAGCATGCGGGGCCGGGCGGGCTGGGAGCGGGGCACGGCCGGCGGGTCCTGGCGGTGGGTCCCGGCTTACACCCCCGGCGGCGACTTCTCCGTCATGCCCTTGAGCACCTCGTCTATCCGGTCATCCTCGATCACCACTGCGGGGACAGGCGGGGGGCTCGTGGGCGAGGGGACGCGGACCCGGCTCCTGCCCCACACCCCGGCTTTCGCCCCGCTCGCCACCCCAGGAGGGCTCCAGATGCGCCCACAGATGTTGGGGAGCAGGGCCAAGGGGTTCAGGTGGGTGCAGTGGGGATAGAGGGGGTGACCCCCTTCTCCTGCCAGGTTGGATAGGGCAGCACCCCCCTCCAACCCAACCCCCCTCCCCCCCCCCGTAGCCAGGCGGCCGCCTCTGGATGAGCGGTTTGGGAAGGGGGAGCAGGAACAGACCAGGAAGGACCCCCCCCTCCTCTCTGCGGCAGGCGCTGATGAGAGCAACAGGACTGGAATGGGTAATGACCCAGCGGGGGGGGCACTGCTGGATCGGCGAGGGGAGCAGCCAGACCCCTGCCAGCATCACCCACTACACAGGACACCCCCCCCCACCATCAACATCACTGTCGGGGGAGCCAGGCAGGACCCCAACCCTCATCAGCATGGCAGCCTGCACGGACCCCCAACATCGCTATCACCATGAGGGGATGAACAGCCCCCCTGTCAGAATCACCCTCCAGACAGACCCCCCTCAGCATCACTCGCTGGGCCGTACCCCCCTTCCACCAACATCACCAGTGGGAGGCTGGACAGACCCCCATCAGCATCACTGTCAAGGGGCTACACAGACACCCCCTTCTCCCCCCAAATCAACATCACTGGTTGGGCAGATCTCCCACAGCACCATCACCCTCGGGAGTGGAGAACAGAACCTACCCCCATCGTTACCAGGGTGGTCAGCAACCCTCCCCATCACCCCCTGGGGGTGAATTGGTCACACACCGCCCCCCAACACCAGCATCACTGGGGAACAGCCATAGCCCCCCATCACCAGGGAGGGAGATCCATTCTCCCCATCACCCCCGGGGGGCTGCTAGACCCAGAACCACCACCCCAAATGCTAGACCCAGAACCACCATCCCAAAGAGGGGCAGGTGGAGCAGGCAGTGGCTCCCCTCACTCAGAGCTGAGGTGTATTTATGCTGGGGGGGGGGAAGCTCTGGTGCCCTCCCCTTTTGCCCTTGCAGCTCAAAGGGGGGTGTTTGCCTATAGATGTCCCCCCAAGCAGGTGGAGGGGGGGCTGCAGGGAATGCGGGGGCCATTCTTAGGGTCTGTAAGGCATCGGGGAGGATCGATGGTGGCAGATCAGGGTGCAGGGGAAGTGGGGCCATATATTTGGGTTCTAATAGAAGCAGAGGAGCTGCTGAAGGGGGTCTCTGCGGCAGGGAGTAAAGCGGGGGGGGGGAGGAGCAGGACACACACAGGCTCATGGAGTCCTGGGGCGACAGTAAACTGGGGGGGGGGGGGTGTTGTTTGTTGATCAGCATCACCGGCAGCTGCTGGTGGGGGTCTCTGCGGCAGGCGGAAACGTGGAGGGAGAGAGGGTGATGGAGCTGGAGGGGCAGTTCCTGGTGATGGGGGGGGGGAACAGTCCGGGGGGATGTGGGGACAATCCCAGGGATGCTGAGGAGCAGTTCCAGGGGGTCCCGGGGGCACTCGCAGAAGTGCTGGGGGGCAGCCCCAGGGATGCTTGGGGACAGCCCCAGGGGCAGCCCCAGCGATGCTGCAGGGTAGTCCCGGGGGGAGCCCCAGCCTGCCAGGGGTGTGGGGCAGAGCTGGGGGGACAACGCTACTGTCTTAAGGGGCTGCTGAGGTTTTGGGGTGATGCCGGGTGCCATTTGCAGAGCTGGGGGTCCCAAGGTTGCTGGGGGGCAATGCCAGGGATGATGTGGGGCAGAGCTGGAGATTCTGGGATGCCGGGGACAGTGCTGGGGATACTGGGGGGCAGTGCCGGGAATGCTGTGGGGCAGCGTCAGAGGTACCCAGGGGACAGTGCCGGGGATGCAAGGCAGAGCTGGGAGTCCCAGGAATGCTGTGGGGCTGTGTTGGCGATATAGAGCCAGCTGGCTATGTAAGAGCCAGTGCAGGGGATGTTAAGAGCCAGTGCCGTTAGTACCGGAGATGCTGTGGGGCAGTGCCGAGGATGCTGCAGAGCAGATCCGGGGGATGCCGTGGGGCAAAGCCGGGAACACAAGGGCAGAATCGGGGCTCCCGGGGATGCTGCGGGGCGATGCCGGGGCTGACAGGGATGCACTGGACAGTGCTGGGGATGCCGGGGATGCGAGGACAGAATCGGGGGTCCCGGGGCTGCTGTGGGGCGGCGCTGGGGGTGCAAGGGCCAGTGCCAGGGATGCCAGGGGGACAGCGGCGGGGATGCTACAGTACAGATCCGCGGGTCCCGGGGCAGAGCCGAGGATGCAAGGACAGATCCGGGGGTAGCAGGCACACTGTGGGGCAGCGCTGAGGATGCAAGAGCCAGCCTCAGGGGTGCCGGGGATGCTGCAGGGCAGACGCGGGGGTCCCGGGGATGCCGTGGGGCAGCTCCGGGGCTACCGTGGGGGCAGAGGCGGGGGATCGGGCGGTACCTCTCTTGGCGCGGCCGATCTGTCCCAGCTTGGGGGGCCGCTTGCCCTGGTTGCCCCCGAAGAAGGCGTTGGTGTCCTGCAGGCGGCAGCTGAAGGGCAGCTCCCCCGCCTCGGGCTCGGCGCCGTAGCGGCCCACCTTGTCCTCGCCGTAGGGCAGCACCTGCGACATGGCGGGGCCGAGCGGGCCGAGCCGCGCCGCGCCGAGCCGGGAGCCGGTCTGCGGCGGCGGCGGCGGCGGCGGGGAGGAAACCCGGGCGGAAGGATGAAGTCATGCATCCGGGGGGAGCGGGGACCCCCCCGGCGGGGGGCGGCTCCGGAGCGCCGCGGCCCGGCTCGGCCCGGCCGGACAGGGACGGGGACCCCCGCGGCTGGTGCCCGGTGCTCGCCCGGTCGGGATGGGGACACCCCTGCCCTCCCTGTCCGCAGCCCCTGCCCCGTGCCCAGCGCAGGACGGTCCCTCCGGCACAGCCTTGCCGCGGCGGCCGCCCCTTCCCGGGGTGTCCCTAACCGCGGGGTGCCCCTGCGGAGCGGGGTTCCCTTGGCACAGCCAGGTCAGACAGGCTGGGGACCACCAAGCACAGCCAGGCCCTACCCGAGCACACCGAGGTGATGTCAAGCAGCACTCCCTACCCCGCACCATGCTCCGGTCCTTTTACCCCCCCCAGCCCTTCTCCAGCAGCCCAGCAGGCTCAAGTGCCCCAGAAGGTCCGGGCCAGTTCCCACCCCGGGTCTCCCCAGCCAGGTTGTCCCCACTGGTGCCTGTTGCCCAGCACCCAGCCAGCATTCTCTCTCGCAGTCTTCCCAGTTTTGGGGCCCTTGGGGCCACACCAGCTCCAGCCCTTTCCAGTCCCCTTGGCCCCCACATGTAGGCCCCTGCACATGCATGTGAGTGTTTGTACACGTGCCCTTTGCATGTGCTTGCAGGACTGCGGGGGGCACACGGGTGTGATTCTGCTGTTGAGTGTGACCCAGATGGGGACCATGCCCTGGGATGCCCCTTGCTCCATGGGTTGCCCCTTCCCTGGGGGTTCTCTGTGGACAGGGGAAAGGGTCAACCCCCATGGGGGACTTGCCATGGGTCAGCAAGGAGAGAGCCTCACAAGTAGCCTCAGTGTCCCCTCAAAGCCCTATTTGTGTCCCCTTTGCACATCCCTACCCCAGATCCACACTGGCCCTTTCTGCCTGCATTTTCTGCTGCCAGGATAGTGGTTGCACTAATTGCCATTGGTGCCCCTGAGCAGCCCCACCTGGGATCCCCCATCAGGGTCATCTGGGGCTAGGGGCTATTTAAACTTAGGCTGGGGCTGCTACTTACTCTCTGAGCTGTGGGTGCAGCTCTGGTATCTGGATCTGGCTGGTCCCTGGACTTGGAGTAGTGGCAGTGGCTGGTTGGAGAGGGCCATCCTGTCATGGGGCACCTCTGTTCCTGATGCTCCCTCGCATTCTGGCCCCACTGCTCACCTGGGTGTGCTGGGTGGTGGCAAAGCCAGAGCCTTGTGTGGGAATGGTAAGTACCAGCCCCACGAGAATCCACCTCTGGGTGTTTCAGTGGGGCAAGAGCAGGATTTTTACAGACAGCCCTGTGGTCCATCTCTTCCATGGCCTGAGATCCTGTTGAAACGTGCTGCAGGAGAGCATCAGCTGGGCTGGTCCATGCAAAAGGGCAGGTACATCTATTTTGGGAAAGCTCAGCCATGTCTTTCCCTTTGTACCCTGCTCTGCAGGATGCTGCTCCCTACCATCCCCTCCCAAAGCAGAGATGGGGCGGGATGGGGCAGCCGTGCCTGCTCTCCTGGCAAGGCAGTGAGCGCCTTTATTCCTGCCTTTGCTGGGGAACCGGCTTGAACTTTTCCATGTAACGGCTTCTGCTCCCGTGAAAAGCGCCTGGGAAAATAGGCGAGAGGCCCACGCTGAGCTGTGCCCTGCTTTCCCCACTGCCAGCCCCACGTGCCGCTGCCGTGGGCAGGGACAGGCAAGCCGTGGCACGCGCAGGGCCAGGGATGAGCGGGAACGGGAGCAGATGGGCTGTGTGGGATGTGAGCAGGGCTGGTGCTGCACACCAGGAGGACTTCCAGCCTGGCAGGCTCCTGGGAAAGGCGTGAGAGAGGTCACCCTGGGAACGGCCCCGCTCCCCTCACACCTGTACCTGCATAGTGCCTTGCCCCCCGGGAGCTCCTCGGCTTGGCTATGGGACTCTGTGGGGCTGGCTGGGGCTTGGGGGGGTGGGAGGGACCTCCACCTCCACCAGGAGGAGGGCTGGATTCATGCCAGCATAGCTGGGCTGTAGTGGGACTGGGCAGCACTGTGCCTCCAGGCACCGCATCTCTTTGGGACATCTCCAGTCACTGTCTCCCCATGGGTGCTGCTGGTCACCCCTGGGAGGGGGAAAGGCTCCAGGGACCTGAAGGTGCAGGAGGGACCCCAACCTCACCCCTCATGGTGAGCCAGACCGAGCGCCCTCCTTCCCCTGGCTCTCATCCCACCTTCATTATCCGCCTTTTAGCAGCCACGTAATCTCCTTTCTCACTTCCTTTGCAGACTTTTGTCCAACACAAAGCCAGCTCCAGCAGCCGTGGGAGTGGGAAGCTGGTGGTTCTTCCTGCCCTGGCTCCTTAAAGCTGGGCCACAGCCCAGGAGCTGGAACACCTTGAGGTGATGCAAGGGCTGGGGGCTGGTCATGAACAGTGTGGTGGGTATAGGGCCAGGCAGGGGGCAAGCAGCTACAGTTGGGCTGGTGATAGAGATGGTGCTACATTGCCTGACCTGAGGTGATGCTCTGGGCGCCCACTGGTGCCTGCTGTGACACAGCCCCACAGCTGGATGCTGCTCCTGAGCCCTGCACCATTGGTGGGGATTTGGGTGACAGCTCCGGGTGCTGTGATGGAGGTGAGGGGTTTCCCTGCAGTCACTGGTGCTTCAGGTGGTTTTAGAGTGGATAAATGTGTGGTGGGGCATGTTCTGCCCTGGCTCTGCAGGGACCCCAGGCAGCCTCAGCTGGATAGAATAGGAGTGACGAATGGTCCCTGAGGCCTGGCAGGGATGGAGTCAAGAGACCTGGCAGGCAGCGGGAGGATCACAGAGGGTTTAGATGAGGTGGGAGGCATTGGCCACCAGACCTGGGGCTTTCTCTGCTACAGGTCTGGGAGCTCACTGGTGGCATCACTTCTAATGGCTCAGGGCTGGTGGCTGCAGAGGCGTGCCTGGAGGCCGGCTTGGTGCCTCCATCTGTGCTGCTTCCAGCCCTGCCAAGAAACGTGAAATGGCACTTCTGCTCCACAGCAGCGGCTGCCATGGTCCAGGGGCCTTGCAAAGGGCCAGCTCCCCACTGCCAGCACTGCTGTGCTCCCAGAGCACCTGCCCCCAGCCTGCTGTGGGACACTGGCAGAGGTCATCGGCAAGGGCAGGGCTGTGTCCATCCTTGGCTGCTGCTGCTGGCTCTCAGTAGCCAAAGCCCAGATGGGTGCAGGTGGTGTGGATGGCCAAGCCTGCTGATGGCTGTGGTGGCCGTAGTCAACATAGTGAGGAAGCGGTGGGGCACAGGGGACAGGCATCCTGCTTGGTAGCTGTGGGTCAGCACAGGGCAAGCATGCAAGAGCAGTGTGCTCCTTCCCATGGGCTGTCCCTCCCCATAGCAGGTGATGTGGGAAGATGAGGCTAAAACGCCATCCTTTCCCAGGGAGAAGGGCTCAAGCCTTTGCAGGGCAGTCAGGCAGCAGGTTGTCACTAGTGAGATGAGTTTGTCTGCCTTGGTGCACAGGCTGGCTTTGGGAAGCGGGGGTTCCCGAGGGGAATCCTACTGCTAAGCCAGGGCAGGTGGAAGGGGGATGTCACTGTCCCCATCCCTCACACAAGCTGCTCAGGGCACAGCTGCAATCCCGGTGATGCCAGGGTTGCACCTGAGCAGGTGGAGCGCTCTCAGCACTCTGCCTGGGGCAGGGACTTTATCTGTGGAGGGTTCCCTGCCCAGATCCAAACAGTCCTGCTGGGGCGTGAGGCTCCATCCTCGTCTGTCGCCACATCTCGGTCACCATGACAACAGACAGAGACGGGCCGGAGTAGGCTGGCAGCCCTGTGGGTGTGGATGGGGCCATAGCCATGGGCTGGCACCCACGGGCACGCTGCAGGTCCTCTTGGGCCCTGCATGGTGAGGACAGAGGCTGGGCAGGGCTCAGTGCAGGACTGCGAGCTCCTGCTCCAGACCAGAAGGCCCTGATGGGCGATGGACAGCAGGTTCGGGGCGGACAGCCCCTATGCGGGCGGTTTGGCACCGCCAGTCTTTGGCTGTCGCTGAGCAGAGCGGTTGAGTGGCGCTGCCGCCCGGCTCCGCGCCAGGCAGGGCTGCTCAGCCAGGTCCAGGCCACCGCGGGGCTGGTGGCTGCCCTAGGATGGCAGGGCCCCCCGAGGGGTGTGGGGTAGGGCTGTGGCCAGCTGAGGTGGTGCCCTCCGTGTGCGCAGGGATGTGTTCCCTGGGCAGCTGCGGCCCCCCTGTGGACAGAGGGCAGCGGGTGGCTGCGGGTCCCTCTCTGGGTGTCGCTGTCCCCGGGTGGCTGCCGGGCCCCGGGGAACGAGGTGAGCAGTCTCTGAAGCACGGGCACTCGCCGCCCAGCCCGGCCCACGCGCGCCAGCAGCTCTTGGCACACGGGGAGTGTGTTCCTGGCAGCCCGGCCCTCGCCCATCTGGTATTTACCTCCTTCCCGAAATCCCTCCTTGCTGCGGGGGGGTGCCCGGCTCTGGAGCGGGGGGAACACCCGGGCCCCACTGCTCACTTTGCAGTGTGGCACTCGCCATGCTGGCATGGGGAAGAAGCTGAGCTGAGACACTGGAAGAAGGGAGCCACACAGACACCCCTACCCCAAAATGAACATGGGTCCCAGGAGGTTTTGCTGGGTGTTCTGGGGCATCATCTCTGGCTGCAAGCTATGGGGGCAACACCACAGGGGCACCTTTGCACCAAGCATGGTCATTGCCCCAAACTGGCAGCAATGGGGGCCCCTCCCATGGAAAGGGGCATCATCCCCTTACCCCAACACTGCTGTCTGACTGCCAGTGCTGGCCTGTTCCCTTCTCTCCCCCCCCAACCCCCCAAATAAATCCTGGGTGCCCCAAAGCCGCAGGAGCCAGGAGAGCCCGTAGGTTGCCTGGGCAACTGCAGCCAGGCAGTGATGGGGAGCAGTCCAGGGAGCAGTTGCCATGGAGACCAGAGGAGCACGATCGTCTTGGCAACCGTCCTGTTTTTTTCCCCCCACCTCTGGGGCTGTATCCC